TTACTCCCTTGGCTCCCCTGCCAGGCCACAGACTTCCAACTGTTGCTTTCCTCCTTAAGACCACAGCTTCTGGGTCTTCCCTATCCTATAGGTTTGTTTTCTTGGGTTCCCATAACCATTTCCTCCTATTGCCTTTTTATAAGTTCCCCTTTTCTATCTTAGGGTGCTTCAGCATCACTGGAATGATTTTCTTTCATCCTAACACTTCTGAAATAGTCATTAGATTAATTTTCAATTACCCTTATGAATATGCAATCTGTTTCCTGTTCAGACACTATTTGATCAGGTGTGAGGAAGGCCAGGTGGGTTAGTCTTGCCTCACCTAGGTGCAGAGGTTACTTACAGCCTTCTGATTGGTCACCGGTGTCTCCTACAGGCACCGAGCTCTTCACCCTCAGGGGAGAAACCCAAATAGAAGGAAGTAAACAGTGTCTGTCCTCCAATCAGAAGTCTCAACCTGGTTCAACAACTCTCCCCTTTGCCAAGTCCCTGAATTCCAGATTTTACTTGCCCACCTGGCCCCAGAGTACTCACCTGCTCCTCCCCAACTCTGCTGGTCTTCTGGATTCTGGACTCTGTCTTCCCACCTGGTTCTGTAGGGCTCACTCCCTCCTTCCTATTCTGATTCCTGGCCTTAACCCATCATCAACCTGGTGCCACAAGATTTGTCCTCGCCAGCATGGCCTGTCTTGCCCAGTGGTCACCGGGGTGGCATTTCGGGAGAGAAGTAGCACCTCTGGAAAGCGAGCAGCTTGCACTATGTTACTTTCTGTTTTGAGGACTTATTTAACAAAAGTTAAAATAAGGGAGAATTATCTGATAGTCCTTAAAAATTAATGTAACTCTAAAGAAAACAGTGAAAACTGAGCAATGGCAGAAAGTAAATTTGAGTTTTACTAAATAACTTGTAAGACTTATGCTCTATTTTAAAATGAAAAAAATAATGGTGAAAAGGTCTAGCAAGAACTTCAAGAGTTGAGGACTGAACATGATTCTGTACCATGTCATGTGGACCTGTTTAAGCTCCTCCCTTGCCTTGCAACTTTCCCTCAGGTAGGACAGGGCTCCCGCAGGGCAGAGCCCATGTGACACGGTGATGGCAAAGCAAGACACCAGCATCTACAAACCCCAGTGGGTCCTGAGGGGAAGTCACACTTCAAGAAACCAGAGTGGGCTACATGGCCAGCACTCTCCGCACTGACAAACTTTCCAGCCAGCCTCGGCGGCTCAGAGTTCGACTTCATGAATGGAGATAGCAGGTGGCCCATATAAAAACAAACTAAGGTGAAGGCAGAGCTATAACTAGTACCCCAAATACATAGATGTGCTGCCCTACACTCGTTAACCGACAGGCAGTTTAATGCATTTAAAAGCAGCAGTTCTCAAAGTGTGGTTCCCCAGAACAACCACACTAGCATCTTTTGGAAGCTTGTCAGAAATCCAAATCCCCAGGCCACACCCAAGATCTATTAAATCAGAAACTGGGATTTGGGGCCAGAATCTATATTTTATCAAGACTTCCAAGTGACTCTCATGTACACTAAAGACTTATAGAGCAAAAATAATACTTTTCAAAACAGTTCTATCCTTCCCCCAAATAGAAATCTCATTAATTATTTACCACAAGGTCAGAAAAATATCTATTGCTTTTCCCTTTAAACTCTGGGGGGCCATGGAATGAATATTATAGAAGTCATTAATCAGTGGCGTAGACACACTCTTTTGCAAGAGATTCTCCATCCTCATCGGCTCTCCTTACCAAACTCCATAGCTATTCCCTGGATCCCTAGTGTCTACCACAGCGTCTGGCACAAATACTGGCTAAATGCATAAGTCAGCATGATGAATGGAAGAGAAAGTGGGAACTGGCAACGCTGCCTATCAGCACAAAATCATTTGGAAACTCCACCTCCTGTGCCCGATCCACAAAACAGTTAACCTACATAGAGATGGCTGCCAGTTGACTGTATGTCAATACAGACTTTCTACAACTAGCTGCCTAGTCTCAGCTGCCTCCCCAGTTGCAACAGCTGGTATGAGAAAAGACGTGTCAGAACCCCCGGATCTTCCCAGAGAGGTTCAACTATCTCCTCTGAGGATTTCTGAACAAGAATCACAAAACTGGCACAGTATCAGAAGTGAGCATTCTGCAGGATTCTCCTGTTGGAGTACTATTTTTAAAAAGGCAAACAAGATGGAGAGAAATTGCTAGGAAGTTGCATTTTTACAGCAATTGGAGACAAATCTAATTTCTTACCAGAAATGGAAACCCATATGATATCATTGTACTGCATATGAATTATTAATGTTTATAATTTTTTGTAAGTTAGGTATTCAGGAAGGTTCCTGTTGACATCATGTTTGACATCATAATGCTTCATCATTCTAAAAGCTTAATGAGATGAATTATTGCTAGAAAGGAGAGAGAGTGAGAGATCAAGCACACATTTTTGTACTCTGGGGAACATCAGAGACCAAGTAAATAATGAGGATATGGTTTATAATTGATGTACAAAGGGAATTTTTAAAAAAAAAACAATTATTATAGCCCACTGTAAACAGGACAACATAGCAAAGACTTTACTTTTCTACTTGAGCATCTTAGAGAGGGGGAGCATGGAAGCCATGACTAGCAACTATCTCAGACTCTTAGGTGGAAGAATTCTGGTTCTAAGAAGAAATAAAAGTAGTTTTTACAAAATTACCTTAACTACAAAAGAGTATGGAACATGTGAAGACTGAAAAAAATATATACAACACTGAATCACAAGTCCTAAAAGGATACTATTAAATATATTAAAGCAATTCTGCAGTAATAATTCTGTAGGATTTGTATAATAATTCTGGTCTCATATTTAATTTCAAATCTATAGTTTCTGAGATCTACACATGCAAATTAGTGCTGAATCATTAAACCACCAGTTTCATTCCCAACATTCCTAGTAATAGCTTGGAATGAATTAAGCTCTTCTTTGGAAATCTTGTTGATAAAGCAGTGAGTTAAATTCCAATGCAGGTCAAGCCTTTTAACACTTCAGCCAAGTAGCAATGATGTTTATACAAGTTTATACTAGCTGCTAATAATTGGGACTCACTTTCCCTCCAGTTTTTACTCCATTTGGTCTCTAAGTAGCCTCTTGAGGGAAGTACTAAAACATAGGGAATGAATTCATTCATTATTCTTTCTTTCATTGAACAAACATGGGGTAGCTAGAGTTGCCAGGTACTAAATTGGGAATCCTGCTACTTTGAAAGGCAAAATACACAATTTCTCTGAAGCAACTAAAAAAAGTCTCAAAGTTCATAAGTTGTCACTATTCTAAACTCCTGCTTCATGTCCTCAAATTTCCTTTTCAACAAGAAGGCAAAAGGATAGTCTTTAAGATAATATCCCGATTTAATTATTTAACCAAATATAAAATTCTATTTCCCTGAAATTTCTCCTAATGCAAACTTTATGTGAACCACTGTGTAAAGAAGCAAAAGAAACAAAAAACAAAAACAAAAAACTTGACAAAAGAAAAACATACTGTTCTGCACATGCCTCTATAACAAATGCTCCAGTGATAGATTGTACTGTCATGCACCCAGGTCTCTAGTCTTTGGAAATTCTATCATCACATGGTTAACATCCAAAAGCTAGAAGAGAAAGCTTATTAACTGGCAGATAGTAGGGCTCAATAAATGGTGTTTTATTATAATGATTATATTATGATACTACATATATAATTATTACCAATAAAAGCCTACAACCATACATAACCATCATGTTAAGCTTCATGTTACAAAATCATGCTGCTAAAATAAGTGCACTAAAAGAGGCTTTTGGTCTTCTAGACTGAAGCCAGCATAAGCCGTCCCTCCACTGGGAGCTGGCTTTATCCAATGAAGACCAGAAGGCTCCTCACACTAGACCAATTGTGGAACAACTTTTTCAAGTATTAAATATACAATTGTGTATAATCAATGGAACGGTTGCTGGTGACCCACTGACCATGTACAAGCTGTGGATGTCACACAGCTTCTATGTAACATTACAAGTCATGGAGATGTATTTTTTCCCCCTCTGCAACACGGATGTGCCATTGTCATTCTGTTTGCTACATGGATAAAAGGCCCAGTGGCCAGGTTTACACAATGAAAACTCTCTTGGATTTAATAGTATTTTGAGAACATACAGAAGGGCAGTATTAAAGTGATCATTTTTCTCCTGCCATTCAGAAATATCTGGTGACTGCTTTAATCATTTAAACCATTTTCTCCACTTCCTCACAATTCCACCCTCCTGGAAGATGAGATGTATGTGCAGAATCTTCATCTTCAGACAGTCGCCCTGCACTGGAAACCAACTCCCCTCACTTGGCTCCGCTGACCCTACAAACTCAAGGCAGGTTCTCTCAATTATATCCCGTCTGCAGCCAACCCAAACTAGGGACAAACAACAGGTTCCACTCTGGTTCTCTCCCTCCATCTCCCACAAAACAGACACCCTCATTCATTCACAAATCCCCAGCCTAGCTCCTAAGACTCCATGCAGCTGGGCTGGTTTTCCCAGGTAAAAACGGGAGTACGAGGCATCCTTGCTCCAGGTCTGCACCATGCACTTAAAAGACACGCCAGTCGTCCGGGTGCTCCGATCTCATTCAATCAGACTCACCGCTGAATGCTCTCAATGACACCCACCCCTGCTCTCGCATTAACCCAGGCACAGCCTTCCTCCCTCCCTGGAAAACCGGCCAGCCCGCCGGCTCCCCAGTGCGCTCCCTTTTCCACCCCTTCCCCCAGAACCAGCTCCCAGGACCCCCCCTCCAGGGGTCTTTTCTGCTCAGTTTTCCTGGCCCTCATCACCCCCACAAATGAAAAGTAAACTCCTCGTTAGTGACAACCTCCCCAACCCCACCGCGTCACGGCCACTCAACTCCTCTGGAGCCCCCTCCCCGTGCAAACCGGACAGACGGGGCGGGTGGCCCCCACCAGCTGTGCCCGCGCCTGGCGTTTACCTGGAGGTTGGAGTAGTTGGTCTGGGTCTCGGCCTCCGCGCTGCTGCAGCAGTGGCGCCTGCCCCTGCAGCAGGTGGTC